TGATGTCAGTTTTCCCCTATTTGATCCATATATTCAGGGCTCTCTCAAGCAGAATTCCAGCAATTATTTTATAAATACCGACAAACTGATCTCGGAGTTTATATAGAGAGGAGAGACACACAACACAATATGGGAGCCCACACAATACTGAAGAACAGTGCAGGAGGGCTATCCATCTCTACAACTTACTATAATCACTACAGTAATCAAGGCAGTGTGGAGATTTGCAAAGAACAGACAAACAGACCAATGCAACAGAATAAAGAGCCCAGTAATAGACTCATATAAATATAGCCAGCTGATCTTTGACAAACAGCAAAGGCAATACAATGGAGTGAAGATAGTCTTTCCAACAAATGATGTTAGAACAAGATATGCAGAGTCCAAACAGAGCAAAACAAAACAAAAAACTCCCAAAGTTTAAAAAACAAAACCATTCTGCACAGACTTTGCATTTTACATACACAGAATATTCCACCCAACGACAACATATATATGCTTCTTACATACACATGGGAGATTTTCCAGGATAGGCCATATATCAGGCTGCAAGGTAAGTCTTAATAAGTTCAAATAGGTGGGTAGTAAACAAAGTATCTTCTTTGACACACCAGGAAGAAGTTATAAATCAAAGAAGTAAACTGGAAAAATCATAGTATTGTGTAAGTTAAATAACACAATGGATCAAAGAAGAAATCACAAGGGAAATTAGGAAAGATTGAGTTTAGTAAAGATTAAAACATATCAAAACTTGGGCCGGGGATTTAGGTCAGTGGTTCTGCTACCTGCCTCAGAAGTTCAAGTACTGAGTTCGAACCCTGATACTCCCCCCCCAAAAAAAACAAAGCTTATGACAAATGACAAAATCAGTGCTAAGAGGGAAATTTATAGTTATAAATGCCTATGTTAAAAAATAAGAAAGCTAGGCACAGTGGCATGTGTCTACGGTCCCAGCTATCTGGGAGGCTGAGGCAGGAGGATTAATTAAACTCAAAGTTCAAGAGCATCCAGGACAACATAGCAAAACCTCACCTCAAAAATAAAATATAGGGGGAAAAGCCAAGAAAGATCTCAAATCAACAACCAAAGAGTACAACTTAAGGAACTAGAAAAAGAACAAACTAAACTCAAAGCTAGCAGAAGAAAGGGAATAATAAAAAAAAAGGTAGGAAAGATAAATGAGTAGGTGAAAGTTGATAATACCAAAAATTGTTTCTTTGAAAAGGCTGACAAAATTGACAAACTTTAGCTAAATAAACTAACAAAAACAGAAGATTCAAATCACAAATCAGAAATAAACAAATTTGAATCAAATCACAGAGAGAAAACTGGTTATTCACTGGAACAAAGAGAGTACTAAGAATTAAATGTCAACAAATTGGATAATCTAAATGAAATGTCCAATTACCAAAAACACAAAACTCTACCAAGATTAAATCACAAAGAAATACAAAATTTGCATAGATCCACAACTAGTAAGGAGACTGAGTCAGTAATCAAAAAAATCTACTTATAGGCTAAGGCTATGGCTCTGTTGTACAAGGTGTGCTTAGTGAAACTCTGGGTTCAATCCCCAGCACCAAAAAAAGCCAGATGACTTCAGTAGTAAACTCTGCAAAG